AGATTAAGCTGCATCCATACAAGCTTATAGGCTATATTTATTTATTTTATTTTAGTTGCACAGTTTTTATACCTTACTAGCGACCGCCCGCGACTTCGTACGCGTGGATCCCGTTTTGATAGCGTCAGGAAGGAAAACCCGACTTATTTTTTTTCCTGAATTTTCTTTGCTATAAACCTCACGGAGCCCGGACCTTTCCAACGAATGCAAAACCGTGGAAGTCGGTTCGTGCGTTCTGGAGTTATAGCGTCAGGAAGGAAACCATACCTTTACCTTTACATGAGTTCTTTTACTAAGGTATCGTGTGGTTCCGAAAGGGTAAAATAGAGCCACCAATGGAGAATTATGCGAACATCAGGCCTTCCTCAACCTATCTAACCAGCAGGAATGTAGGGCTGTAGGACAAATGACCAAATCCTCAATATGCCTCTGGTAAATTGGAGAAGGTCTTCGTCCTGAAGTGAAAACTAAATGACGATGGTTTTGCATAAGGAAGTCGGCATTAAAGGATCTGTCACAAAATCTCTACCAATCTCTAGCAAAGTTCATCAAAATAATTTCAGTGATTATGCTTTCCTTCGTACCGTAGACAAGGGATACGTTATTTTTGATTGATTGAGATTTGATTTGATTCGTAGTTCGAGCTACGACTACGAATCAAAGACAAGAGACAAACATGATATTGCAAATATTCAAATCCTCAATACCAAAATCTTATGATATAACGTAACTTTGCTTTATTTTGAAGTACACAAATTTTCTTGCACCTGATTTTGGTACAAATCGACAGCTTATCAGACTATAGTGTTGCAAAATAGTTTCATTTAATACCGCTTGCATCCCCGAACACCAACTAATTATATTAACCGATACTCTTCAAATGTGTGCGCAGCCTAAGTCGAGAGCCTTACTCAAGGAGGCGTGTCGACACGGCTAGCTAAATTGGGCAATAGGTACTGTCCAAATAATTGCCTTACCTCAGGACAAGTGGTCGGGTGTCCCCACATGGTCCGGGGTTCCGTTCCCAAATGGAGCGCGTATTGGAAAAATGTAATAACATGTTTTTGTCACCTTTAATTAAGTTTGCATTTAACAAGTGTCGTGTAAGTTAGTACTATGTGCCCTGCCCATTGCCACTTCTGCAACTTGCTAATCCATCGGGCTATGTCAGGGACTTTAGTTCGTTTACGGATCTCCTCATTTCTGATTCGATCTCGTAAAGATACACCGAGCATAGCCCTCTCCATAGCACGCTGTGCAACTTTGAGCTTCTGTATAAGGCCTATAGTGAGAGGCCACGCAGAACTGACGGCCGATGGGGCAGCAAGGTTCTGGAGTGGAGGCCGCGTACCGGAAAACGCAGCGTGAGTCGTCCTCCCACAAGGTGGACCGACGACATCATAAAGGTAGCAGGGAAGCGCTGGACGCAGGCTGCTACCAATCGATCAACATGGAAAGCATTGGGGGAGGCCTATGTTCAGCAGTGGACGTCCTATGGCTGAGATGAGGATGATGATAATATGCTACGATATTGTTGGTGATCAAATAAATAAAGTTACCTACATTACTGTGCTTACTTATTTCTTGTTGTTAAGGAAATTAATATAAATAAACATGTCATTATGGTTGATAATAACATTCGTAGACTCCAAAGGTTACGTCGGAAGTTGTTATGGGACAGAATTGTACGATACTTAGGTAATTACACTAATGTATGTAGAACTATATTATTACTATAGAAAAAGTAGGCTCACATGAACACTACATTATATAAATGTATCATTAACTTTCCAAAACATGTAATCTACGGGAGATGTAAAAATATTTTAACTCGGGTGCTAATGGACTTAATGGTATGTCAAAAATTGCCCTCCGAAACACCGAATAAATATTTATTTTCGGACTAGGTACTCCTAAACTGGGAATCAAATCCAAATCCAAGAGTAGACAGACTTAACTATACTGGACCACAGATTCGCACGTAATCATAACAAGTTATTTTGCTTGTAAATACATTTATAAAATGGATCATGCTGTTTTTCTTACTAGAGTTTTTCATGTGTGCTTATTTATCATCTTATTCAGCATCGTGCTGCTGCTCACACTATCAGTGCGTGTACAGTTCTTGCGTGTGTGTGTATAATAACCTAATTGAGTTACATCTAACCTACTGCCCAAAAGTTAGTTGTACTACTTGCCGTCCGACCACGAGCCGCCAAGGCCACGGCTCATGTCGGGCATGGGTCTGTTTACTTTTATTTTCGGGCCATTACGTAACGCATGGAATTTGTTTTAACTCCAATAACTGACCATACTCAGTGTGGTACAGACATTGACCATGGCCAGTGGTACTGATAACACAGTTTCATTAAAAGCGGTCTGTGACTCGTTTATCAACACAGTGACGTTTTAAAGGTCGCGATCGATAGGTTTGAGTTTGTGATTGTGACATAAGTGAAGTGACAGTGACAGATAAAGCCGGCTTAGCGGCATCTAGTGCTTATAAAATTAACTCTAATTAGTTTAAAAAAAGGTAATTGATTGTGATATACTCGACTTTCAAGTAATCAAACTGTAGCGAGTCAATTTTAATTCTAACTTGTCTGGCAGATGAATTACTTAAATGGTACAACAATACTCAATAGGAATTATAGTCAATCTTTATCTCGTAGTCAGAAGGAAAAAAGCATTATGAAAATGAGATTGACATGTTTTATTATGAGACTATAATTATATGAAATGAACGCATTTCCATATAAATGGGAGGTCTTTGATAAATAGAAAGAGATTAGTCATGAATACGTAGATTGTACCTACATAAATATTAAACACACATAAAGTGTGTACGACGAATTAGCGCAGATACGCGAGTTGAATAGACTAGGTATTTGTTTATAAAATATGTTTGATTAATTGTTTATAACATGTCAGTAAGTAGAATAGGAACTAGCTTGGTGCCAGGTTCACAATAGAGTGCTAATGAGGAATTAAGGTTCTAAAGGAAAATTAAAACAGGTGAGATTTTGGAAGATTATAAAATTATCTAAACAAAAGTGGTTTTTCTTCAGCCACATCAGCTCAGCTTCAGCCGATATGTTTTCCCGATCCCGAGGTCGTGATAAGGCAAACTGTATTTGGGATATGTATTAAGGGCTCGGAAAAGGGCTACTAATTAATAATAGGGCACAACTATTCAATTTTATGACCAGTCAAACGTCTTTTTCTTATGAATAATGTCACTAGTTCGTGAACTCTAACTTTTTAATTGATTTTAAAGCTACAAAACTTCAAGCAATCCAAAGTGAAGAGAATCTCATTTTGCGAAGTCGATTAACTATTCTGAAAACAGAGTTTTCAGAATATAACGTGAGCGAAGTATGTAAAGAAAGACTTGGTTATAGTGGTTTCAAAACCCACACCATGGAAAAAAGAACCTTATGCTGCGATCGCTGTGACGATAAATGCTAGACCACCTCAAACCATCTAGCGAGCGAGGGCAAAACCCTATCTTGCCTCTGATTAGAGGGGTCCGTGCTTCTGCAATGGAGACTCAATGTTGACGAATTCTATACAAATCTGGTATAGTTTTGTCTCCTAAGGAGGGTATATTCCCTTTCAGAGGCCGTCATGCACGCAAGTGGCAAGTAGGTGGTGCTATGGTTGCTGTGTCGCGCAATGTTAGACCACCCCAAACCATTTAGCGACCGAGGGCAAGACCCTTATCTTGGCTCTGAATACAGGGGATCGTGTTTCTGCGATAGAGACTCAGTAATGATATTGTCAAATTCTGTACAAATCTGGTATAGTTTTGTCTCCTAAGGAGCGTATATTCCCTTTCAAAGGCTGTCATGCACGCTCGTCACTAGTAGGTGGTGGCTCGTCGCTAGAATGTCAGACCACCTCAAACCATCTACCGAGCGAGGGCTAACCCTTATCTTGCCTCTGATTTGAGGGGATCGTGTGAAATGGAGACTCAATGATGAATGCTGAGTTCCTACGTTCGCTTTCAGAGGCCGTTATGCGCACTCGTGGCAAGTAGGTGGTGTTATGGTCGCTGTGTCGCCGAATGTTAAACCCCTAAACCATCTAGCAAGCGCGGGCAAAACCCTATTTTGCCTCTGATTAGAGGGAGCGTGCTTCTGCAATAAAGACTCAACAATGAATGCTGAGTTCCTACGTTCGCTTTCACAGGCCGTTATGCGCGCTCGTAGCAAGTGGGTGGTGCTGTGGGCGCTGTGGGCGGCGCGGCTGGTGCGGCAGCCGACGCCGCCGGTGCGCGTGAGCGGTGGCTGGCTGCGCGGCTCCGTCTCTCCCAACGGCTCTTACGCACAGTACTCCGGTGTGCCGTACGCTACTGTACAAGACAGGTTTCAGGTATGACAGCAGTTTTTTAAAACACTAATAGTCCCGGTAACCCCAAATATATTAGTCCAGAAGAAGGACGAACGGGAGAGAACGAGGTTCAAACTACCGAGGTCGAATCGAACACTGACACCAATGGGCTATTATTGTCGCCTTAAATAAATTATTTTTACATCAAATTTTATTATACCCAGTGGCAATGTAGGTAAGGAAGGAATAGTCTGGAGTACTGAAGAATTTTGAAACAAACGAAAACTTGCTAGCAAATATTTTACAGAATTTTCCACAACAATTAAACTCGAACAAGTAGGTAATAAATAATTACTAAAGCCTGGTCCGTGAGCACGTAGAATTTTGTCCAATGACAGCAATATAATTAAGCGCGAACGATAAGGATGGGTAGCTAGGGGTCATTGGACAAAATTCTACGTGCTCACGGACCAGGCTTTAGTACCTATGGAATATTTTGACATCATGTCTAGATTATGACTTATAATCTTTTGTGTAGTTGTTTGACCCAGAAAAATTGAGGTTAAAGTTTAATGGGTAGGTATTACTTAACTTGTTTTTTTTTGTATTTTAATTAAGCGACACAGCTACAAGTATTTTAGAGAATAACGACATCCATTAAAGATAACATGAACTAATTGCTATTCGCTGAAACAAGCCATTGAGCATTGATGAATCATATTTATTTACAAAAGAATTGATAGATGGCGCTGTTTAACACAAGTACGCGATAAAAAAAAATCTTGAAAGGAAAACCACGTGGGCAAGCTACCTAGTTAAAAATGGTTATGACAATTTTAATGAACCAAAAAAGTAGGAAAAACAAAAGAAATGGTGAAACTAGCGAGGAAACCTCAATTTACACTCAAACTTAGATCATCTTGTATTGGGTCTTTTATATTTAGATCAATCACAATCAACAAGCTATTCTAGAGACTCAGTGTAATTCATAAACTCGTACTACCTACATTTGATACTGAATGCCCATAAGGATTTCATTGAAAGATAGGTGAAGTTTTTTTAAACCGCATTTCATGACCGTGAACCGACTAAAACTTGCAAAGTAATTCAAATTTTTTTCTTATTTTTTACACAAACGTCAGATATTTAGCGTAAAAAACGGGTAAAAACCATAAACTACGTGAATGGGAGCCAGAATATTTTGTTTTTCATAAGAAATGGTATTTCTTGGCTAGCAGTGCTTTCATGTAACTAGTAAAAACATGTGGTGGGTTGGACTGAATTGTTAGGTGAGTATAGTTTTCAATATTTATCGTGGTTGAAGCTGCAAAATATCTTTATGATTAATAGAGTCCTGGTTGAATGTTTTTTTTTTCGTTTCAAAGAATTTTTTTTTGTGGCTACAACGATTAATTAAGGTCAGATGAACACCACCATTGACCCTCACAATGTGACTATCTTCGCCCTTTGAACAGTCATTACATTGGTGGCAGTCAAATTAAAAATTACTTGGGATTTCGCTAACGACGAAGGACGCCTTTATTTTATTTTTTTATACTGTATGAGGTGTATAACTGATTCTGGAAAATGACTGCATTCACTTGAGTCTAAGAATTAGTTTGAGCTGTTCTTCAAAAACTAAACTTTTATTTGGACAAATTGACATTTCAGATAAGATACTCATAAATTATCTGAGGTTTCCCTGCGCAAGCGATGGGTGTGAGTGCCAAGTGGGTGGTGCTATGGTCGCTGTGGGCGGCGCGGCTGGTGCGGCAGCCGACGCTGCCGGTGCGCGTGAGCAGCGGCTGGCTGCGCGGCTCCGTCTCTCCTGACGGCTCGCACGTGGAATACCTCCACATTCCCTACGCCTCTGTAGTGAAGAGGTTTCAGGTGAGACGAGCTCTATTATTTATTATTGGTAGTTTATAATGGAATAGGATGTTAACATCAAAAACGAAATTTTACTTTTAGTCTGGTACTATTGGTTTTTTAAGAGCACCGCTCTATCATCTATTATTTATATGGCATGTTCTATTATATCGTCAGAATAACAATTTGGACAGAGTTAAATATTAACTTATTATTCCAGGCACCAGGACCTGCGAGAAATTGGACAGGAACATTTGAAGCGATCGAGGAATATCCCACATGCCACCAGACACTCGGCCGCAGAATACATTACCCTATCGGGCAGGAGGACTGCTTGTCGCTCAACGTCTTCACGCCCCTGAACGTGGCACCAGACAGCAAATTACCAGTCCTCGTACACATACACGGTGGAGGATATTTCGAAAACTCTGCGTCACGAGGAACTTTCGGCCCTGAATTCATAGTCAGAAAAGACTTAATACTCGTCGTTATGAACTACAGACTGTACATACATGGGTTCTTATGTTTGGGTATTCCAGAAGCACCGGGTAATGCCGGCATGAAGGATCAGGTGGCAGCCTTAAAATGGATCCAGGTGAACATACGGGCCTTCGGCGGCGACCCCGACAGCGTCACCATCAACGGCATGAGCGCGGGCGCCACCGCCGCGGCCTTGCACGTCCTGTCGCCGATGTCAAATGGTTTGTTCCACAGAGCCATAATTCAGAGCGGCTCTTCTATTGCCGACTGGGGCCTCCGGCTCGACCCCTTGGAGGTGGCAAGCAAAGCGGCTAAGTTTATGGGTTTCAACAGCAAAAACCCCTATGAGCTCTACAATTTTTATATGAATAAAACCGATGCAGAGCTAATCACAAGAATTCCACAAGAGGAAGGTCTAACTATTTTTCACTTAGTTCAGTTTTCGCCGTGTGTCGAAACACACAAAGGAGGAGAGGAGCCGTTCCTGACGGAGCTGCCGTACAACCTGCTGACCAGGGGAGAGGTCAACAACGTGTCGATCATGATCGGCACGACCAACGCGGAAGGAATAATGATGATCGGCGCCGAGTTGAACGAGACTCTAGATTCGTTGGACACTGAAAAGAATTTGCCTGAAAATTTGGCTTTCCCGTCGGCACTGGCTCGGCGGGAGTTTGCAGATGAAGTGAAAAAGCTTTACGTGGGAGACGAGGAACTATCGTCGATTAACAAGACTAAATTGATTTATTATTTTGGAGATCCGTTTATTAGCTACCCAGTGTTGGAGGAGACGGATTTGTTGATGAGAGCCAGCAAGCAGCCGGTGTACTCGTACTTGTTTGGTTACGACGGCGGCCGCAACATCATCAAGCGCTTTATATGCGGCCCCGAGCTGCGCGCCGCCGCCGGCGCATCCCACAGCGACGATCTGTTCTACGTGTATCAAATCATTTTCATGCCAATATTTTTCGAAACAGAAATGATTGACAAAATGACAACATTATGGGCTAACTTTGCGAGATATGGGTGAGTTTGATATTTTAGAATCAATACTCTTTAAACATGTATATTTTTTTAAACACAAGTCTCTCTGCCATGTCATACTCCGTTAATATAGAGCCTCCTTATACTTGTGTTAGGTAAAATGTGTGTTCTTGTTACATGTAATATGTGTGTAGGTGTAGGTAGGTACACATATTACTTACGACGCTTACGTCAAGACAAGAATAAATAATAATACATAGTTATTTACATAAAATGTCGATAGTAAGAATATTTTCTGAATGTTTTTGTCTTGTTATTTAGTATCTACTCTTGTTATACGATATTGTCATTTAGCAGAATTTTAGGGCATTCATATTACCATCGATGATGATCGAAAACCTAGTATTTACTCATACTTTTTTAGTATTTTGAAAAACTTGTCGTAAACTTCTCATCTTGCTTTTTTTCGTTTAAATAAAAATAATTGCATTGAAATGATTCTAGGGACCCGACGCCTGAACCCACGGATCTCATCCCGGAGCGCTGGCTGCCGGTCACCCCGGAGCACCAGCAGAGCTACCACATCGACAGGACCTTCTCCATGGGGCCAATGTGGTACAACCACAGCCTGCTGTTCTGGAGAGACATCTACTCCAAATACAGAAAACTGTCGTGACAAGGTGTTGATAAAAATTGAAAAGATTACATGGGTAGGGGAGACCGTGGAGAGTTGTAACAGAGGAGAGTTGTGTTGTGACATTGTCGATTTTTGGCAACCTTTAACCATCAGAGCTCGCGCATTTGGTAGCTCGAGACTTGAACTAAAAACGCCCATTGTTACGAGCTAGTTAATAAGTTCCAAAAAATCGAAAATGTCACAAAGCTCTTCTCTGATGGTTACAACTCACTGCAGTCTCACCTACATATGTCACCAATTTTTTATTGCTATTATTATAAGGAGAATATACTGAGCGTTTTTAACAGACGTACTGCTGTGAAATATGCTTGAATGTACTCAATAAATATTTTTATTGTTTTCTTTGTTCTCATAATTTAATTACTTATCTAAAAACCTTAATCAAGTCATTGTCCGAAAAACCAATACGATTACGTAAATCAGTCAGATTGAGCCCTTTCAGAAGTTTTAGTCGGTTCAGTCTGAAAGCAGAAGTAACAAGCAAACTAAGAAGTAAATAGGTACCTGCCTGTAATGTTTATGTATAAGTTCTACTAATCTGTTCTTTAGTATCTATAGGTGTCCCTATTTTTATGTTTTTATCACATTGTTTACACAGACAATAAAGAGTTTAATGCGAGCATAGATAAATTAACTTTATTGTGTATGATATGTATAATTCCAGTTTATCGCAGAATTGTAGTTTGTGAAGGGCGTCTAGTCAATTGTGCTTGTGTCCTATATGTACTGGTAATTAGTAATTACATTTATCAGTATTACCTGTAAATATAAATTATATTGTTTCCCTGAAAAACTGCACTGGACAGAGTACAGCAGTTTTTCTCTCTCTGAAACTTTTTCAGTGCAGTTTACTTCGTTCTTTCAACCCTGAAACTGTAGTTACTTCGTCATCCAAACTAATTATATAAATGCGAAAGTAACTGTCTACCTTTTACATACACGCCTAAATGACTGAACCAACTTTGATGAATTTTGATGTAGCAGAACCTTTTAGAAGGACTTTCTTAGGCTGCTTTAAGTCTTGAAAATATAACTGAAAAAGTACAATATGACGTGAAAGTTTACAATATGCAAAATTAACCATTACAATAGCAACGTGCTTATTAAAATTGAATATTTTATCAATGATGAATGAATAACTGTGATAAAAAGTTTAAACTTTCAATTACATCATTCAAGTCCAAATTCCACGTCTGAATGCTTTAGAATACATTCCAAAAGCCAATATTGGTTTGTCTCACAACAATCATTAATCTTAATAACGGTTGTAATGCTAATCAAAACTAGCACTAGCCCGCGGCTTCGCACGTAGCATAGGTATTAAAGGCATAAATCAAAATGCTTTCATATCGTGAAGAGAAGAAATGACTTATTCCTTACTATCCCACCCACGGCCCACCACCTTCAAAAAATATTTTCGCAATTTTTATTTTTGTCCTCCTCAAGCTACCTCTATGTCAAAATTAATTAAGATTGGTTTGGTGATTTAGGCTTGAAATGGTTGCCGACAGGCAATTACTTTAGCATAATATAATGGTTCTGAGGTATGACAATTGACACAATAATTAAAATTATACTTTGAACTCTTGTATACTAACACGACTTAATATTTGTATTATGATTTCAATTTCAATGTCGACCGCATAGGAAAAATCTCATAGGTCAAACTGTCTTTGAAGCCCCAGTGATCCGAGGAACACGGGTTCGAATCCCGCTGTGTTCGACAAGTGATGAACCCACGCCTAACTCAAGCAGACATATTTAGCTTACCACGAGGGATTACTTAACGGAATTTTTTTGTACAAATTGCTTATACATATAATAATTATCTTTTAAAAAAATTGTTTGTATAATGTCTTAAAAAAGTTCACCCGAACCAAAGATGAACTTATTATATCATCTACTAGTTCGAATGAATGTCTAACTCTACTTGTATATTTTCTGCTGAACCAATTTTGATTGGTTGAGGCGTCAACAAAATGTTACAAACTGACAGATCTGAGTTACTTTTGTATTTATATTAGTAAAGATTATAGTAATTCCGGCTCCCCCTCTTTAGCTGATAACCGACCAGCACTATCATAGTGTGTTATCACCGTGTTAACCTGCGAGATTATAATGATACGTTCGGGCATGGCCAGTTATACCTAATTAGGCGCTTGCAAAACCGTCGGTCATGCATGCGCTTATTATTCATTCGCCAGTCATATACAGTTGACCCGTGGACTTGCAGAAGGCACAATCGAAATGTAATTTCATTTTGACGCGTCTTTTCCCTATACCCTTTGCAGTTTTAGTTACAAGTTATATTGAGGGATCCGTTCTTTGCGTGTCTTGCTCCCGGTTTTTTTTAGTTAAGAATAGTGGACTAATCATTTTGGTGGGTAGAAAGATATTATTGTGATGCGCGCGAGTGGCAAGTGGGTGGTGCTATGGTCGCTGTGGGCGGCGCGGCTGGTGCGGCAGCCGACGCCGCCGGTGCCCGTTAGCGGCGGCTGGCTGCGCGGCTCCGTCTCTGCTGATGGCTCTTACGCACAGTACTCCGGCGTGCCTTATGCCGTCAACCAGGATAGGTTTCAGGTATTAATCCAAATATTTTGAAGTCGCACTACTGCAATAGTTGTGTAGGAGCATGAGTCCAACTCATTGAGTTGAATCGGCTTCAAAATGTATCTGAATCTCATCCAGTGTTAACACATACACTGCGGCATACATGGCAGCATCTCAGCATGAGAGAGCATAATTAATAAAACCGTGACATTGTCTTACAGATTCGCCCCGCTCACTCAGACGTGAAATTGGATACCTTTAATTTATTAACATGGTCTTGATTTCCAATAAAATTGCCAACTCAATCTATTTAATACGTCATGATTTTAGTAGGTAGGGCCTACCCATTACCTTTGCCATACTCATTACCTTCTGGTAAGGAGAGCCCCACTGCCCCACATAACCCACTAGCTACTTCCGCGGCTGGTGGTTCCTTCATTGGTTGGGTTTTTATGGCGGTCAAGCTGTAGATCCTGGCTACACAGGAGTTGTAGTGGTGGTAACGAGAGGTGGGAATAGTCCCGTTTTCCGCGTCTGGTAGGTATGACCAGACGATAAAAAAAAATTATTAAATAGTTTCAGGAGTTTATAAAATGTTTTACCTAATTATCGCAAGATTATTCTGTTACACTTAAAACCTACACTTGTGTATTCAAAACTAGCAGTGAGTAATGTGAGTATAATGGCCGATAACATAAGTAGGGGAGACTGGGGCTGGTTTTAACAGGGGTAAATACTAACAGCGTAATTACATAGAACCTATTTGACTTACCACGCTAATTCCAACGCATTTTGTGCCTACGAATAAGCGCGAACGTGTCTCGACCTGTCAGTTGCCGGCCAAGCGTCACGGGAGCAGGTTGCGTCAGACGCCTCCAATTTCACAGGAAAATGAACTTTTTTACGTGTTTAATTTNCTGCCTACCCTGAAATAAAATTAGTGTCACAGTAAGCGTAATCTTATTCTATGGTGTTATTATTATGGAACATCAGCGTTAGACACTGGTTACATTTAACATCAACAGCGTATAACCTCCTATACTGTCCCTTCAGATAAGCTAACTTTCCTTTAAAACTATGCAATTCTGACCCAACCCTCCAAAGGCATTGGGGTCCACTCGACCCGACGCATAACTTTCACGATGGGCCGAAGTAGCCGCAGTTATCATATTGTAATATTTATAGGGACACATTAGCCAGGTAGATAACGTGAGTAATGCGGGTAAAACGGGGACATTTTTGCACGTACCCGCAAAATATTGGGCAGCGCAAGTGTTGGTTTTCAGCGATTTTGGATTACACCAACTTTTTTTATAACTATAGTGTTCGGAAAAGACAGGAGCAGGCAGCGATTTCCAGTCCCTAGTTGGTCGCATTATAAAAGAGTTATTAAAACTCGCTATTTAGCGATATTCAACTTGTGCCAATTGTTTTGTTGTTAGGCTTTTTATTTCTTTTTGACTGACGAAGTCACAATCGCTGTAATAGGCTAGTTGCCTAAAAAAATTTTTTTAGTCCGTAATGTTTAATATCAAAAAATATTGGACACGTATAATTTTATTTGTCAATCTAACAAATAATTACATAGTTATGGTGCGTTGAAGTTGCGCACGACGTCACAACGTGCGGCATTTTTAAGCAAGCGTTGACGTCACGGGCCTCTTCTTATGAACTTTGGGGCGCTTTATCTCTTTAAATTTTCATTAGTTTGAAAAAGTGAAAAATACAAGTAGAGAATTTTTTGATAAGTTAACTGACGGACTAATTAAAACTCTTGCTTTTTGACCCAGGCAACATCCCCATTGACTTAAGTTAAAAATTAAATCTTATGCTTATTTTCGTTGTTCGCTACAGCTTGCNTCACATGTACGATAAAATTTATAAAAGGAAGTAAATTTTAAAATAAATTGCACTAAATTTCCTTTAAATTGCAAAAGTTAAAGTTCTACAAAAATGTACAGTTTTCGTTTCAGTGAATTTTCAAAAGTGAATTTTCTTTTGGGCCACCCTGTAGTAAATAATTATATCTGTTAATGTCGAAATATTGCCAAATAAAAAAGGCGATCTTTTTTTTCACTGATGGTTTGATGACATGATGCATGCTGTTCAGTCAGATTACGCAGCAAGTAAACTAATTTAATTTTCGCTATTCAATCACACACTCACGATGGCGACCGAAATCGCTCGAATTGATCTGCCCCCTAGACAAGTGGCAAAATCTGACATTCTATTCGGACAGATTCGATTTTTGAAAAATGTGACTAGTCTAGTCTACTAATAGACCCACTGATCGCGTTCGAAGCACCTGTGCGGCGCTAAACTCGTCACGACATGAAACGAGACAATGGGCCAACTATCCGGCCGCCGGATATCCGGCTATCCGGCCTAGCAGCTGGCCGGATATCCGGTATCCGGTATCCGGCCAAACAACTATCCGTTTCATCTCTAGTAAATAGGTACCTAGCTGTAATGTTTATGTACCTATAAGTTCTACTAATCTGTTCTTTAGTATCTATAGGTGTCCCTATCTTTATGTTTTTATCACATTTACACAATAACGAGTTTAATGCGAGCATAGATAAATTAACTTCATTGTGTATGATATGTATAATTCCAGTTTATTGCAGAATTATAGTTTGTGAAGGGCGTGTAGTCAATTGTGCTTGTGTCCTATATGTACTGGTAATTAGTAATTACATTTATCAGTATTACCTGTAAATATTAATTATATTGTTTCCCTGAAAAACTGCACTGGACAGAGTACAGCAGTTTTTCTCTCTCTAAAACTTATTCAATGCAGTTTACTTCGTTCTTTCAACCCTGAAACTGTAGTTACTTCGTCATCCAAACTATTAATTACCTATATGTATAAATGCGAAAGTAACTGTCTACCTTTTACATACACGCCTAAATTACTTAACCAACTTTGATAAATTTTCATGTAGCAGAACCTTTGAGAAGGACATTCTTAAGCTGCTTTAGTCTTGAAAATATAACTGAAAAAGACTTATGTCATGAAAGTTTATAGTATGTAAAATAAACCATTACAATAGTAACGTGCTCAGTAACATTGAACATTATCAATGATAAATAACTGTGATAAAAAGTTTAGTTTCAATTACATCATTCAAGTCCAAATTCCACCTCTGACTTCTTTAGGATACGTTCCAAAAGCCAATACTTATTGGTTTGTCTCACAACAATATTAATCTTAATAACGGTTGTAATGCTAATCAAAACTAGCATTAACCCGCGGCTTCGCACGCGAGTACTCGTTAATAAACACTATATTTTTACTATGTAGCATAGGTATTAAAGGCATAAATCAAAATGCTTTCATATCGTGAAGATAAGAAATAGAATAGAATAGAATAGAATAGAATAGAAAACTTTTTTATTTGCAAGAAAGGTATACAAGCAGGTAAGACATAGATTAAAACAGAGAGAAATAAACAAGTGGACAATTAACTGCTTGTGCCCCTCTGACAAAAAGGCACCCGCTCAGCGTACATCAAGACCGCCAGGGCTTGTCTTGAAACTGATTATTCCTTACTATCCCACCCACGGCCCACCACCTTCAAAAAATATTTTCGCAACAAAATTAAGCCTGTCCTCCTCAAGCTACCTCTATGTCAAAATTAATTAAGATTGGATTGGTGATTTAGGCTTGAAATGGTTGCACACAGGCAATTACTTTAGCATAATATAATGGTTCTGAGGTATGACAATTGACACAATAATTAAAATTATACTTTGAACTCTTGTATACTAACATGACTCATTATTTGTATTATGATTTCAATTTCAATGTCGATCGCATAGGAAAAATCTATATTCGAATGGTCAAACTGTCTTTGAAGCCCTATTGATCCGAGGAACGTGGGTTCGAATCCCGCCGCGTTCGACAAGTGATGAACCCACTCCTAACTCAAGCATATTTAGCTTACCACATGGGGTTACTTAACGGAATGATTAGTAATTGTTTATACAAATTGCTAATATATATTTAAAAAATAATTTTTGTACAAATGTTCACCCGAACAAGTAAAGTTCATCTACTAGTTCGAATGAATGTCTAACTCTATTTGTATATGTTCTGCTGAACCAATTTTGATTGGTTGAGGCGTCAACAAAATGTTACAAACTGACAGATCTGAGTTACTTTTGTATTTATAATAGTAAAGATTATAGTAATTCCGGCTCCCCCCTCTGTAATAACCGACTGATAACCGACCTGCACTACCATAGTGTGTTATCACCGTGTTAACCTGCAAGATTATAATGATACGTTCGGGCATGGCCACTTGTACCTAATTAGGCGCTTGCAAAACCGTCGGTCATGCGCTTATTATTCATTCGCCAGTCATATACAGTTGACCCGTGGACTTGCAGAAGGCACAATCGAAATGTAATTTCATTTTGATGCGTCTTTTCCCTATACCCTTTGCAGTTTTAGTTACAAGTTATATTGAGGGATCCGTTCTTTGCGTGTCTTGCTCCCGGTTTTTTAGTTAAGAATAGTGGACTAATCATTTTGGTGGGTAGATAGATATTAATGTGATGCGCGCGAGTGGTAAATGGGTGGTGTTATGGTCGCTGTGGGCGGCGCGGCTGGTGCGGCAGCCGACGCCGCCGGTGCGCGTGAGCGGCGGCTGGCTGCGCGGCTCCGTCTCTCCCGACGGCTCTTACGCTCAGTACTCCGGCGTGCCTTATGCCGTCAACCAGGATAGGTTTCAGGTACTAAGTTAAATATTTTGAATAAGAACACTGCAATAATAATTATTATTGTACTCGACTTCCTAACTGTATAATACAAAATTTTTTAATAAAAAAAACCGACTCCAAAAAACCTACACTAAAAAGTAGAAAAATAATTACTAATTACCTACTTATTTATTAGGACGAATTAATATATATGTTACGGCTAAAGGTAGGTGTGAACATAAACTTAAGATTAGCCGGCTAAACTTAAGTTTATCTTCGAGAAGCAGCTAAAGTTCGATAACATGTTAGTTTGCGTCGTGATATTCCATCTTTAGCCGGCTAATGTGCACATTAGCCAAAACGAAACGGCTAAAAATGTATTCGAATTAATGCTAATGAACAGTCAACATCAGGTGGACAAGGCTTTCAAAGATGTCATTGCAAGACAAAATGTGGTACACGCAAATGCCGCTGCCGAATAAATAATGTTCTTTGTAATTCGAAATACCATTCTAGTTCATCATGTTCCAACAAATAGCTCCATATTATTTAACAATTGTGACTAGATATTGTTTTAAGTAATTAACACTGAAGAAGTTTTATTTTGTAATTTTAAATACCTACAGAAGATTCTGTAATGACCAAATGGTTCCTTATTATATTATTTTAATGATTAGGTAGATATTGTTTTAAGTAATTAATATTTTGTTATTAATAATAATATTGTAATTTTGAATACCTATAGGTACATAAAAGTATGTGAAATGAAAGTGATTATTTTTTAATAAAGTTTTCGTGTCAAAATAGTAAACATTATTACATTGTTTCCTTTTCCATTTCCTTCTACATTTTTAGCCAAGGGCCTGCGGTTATACTTAAGTTTAGCCGGCTAAAGATAGAAGAAACTAACATTAACACCTCGTCGAAGATAAACTTAAGTTTAGCCGGCTAATCTTAAGTTTATGTTCACACCTACCTTTAGCCGTAACATATATGTAGGTAGGTATACCATGATTGATACTTCTGGAGTCGGTGCCAAGATTATGAAACATGTAAAGTTTGCCTGCATTTTACTTATTTGTTGCGCTTTTTAGTTAACTAATTATTACCTTGGTTATGCGATTTGCCGACGATATCGCACTGATTAGTGATAGCATTGAAGATATGATTGATATGGTAGACCAACTACAACGTGAATCAGCAAAAGTAGGGTTAAAAATGAATTTGTCAAAAACGAAAATCATGACGAACATTGAAAATGCGAAAAATCACGTCCTACCTGTAGAATTGGTCGACCACTACATCTATCTAGGCCACAAAATCACTCTGAATTCTGAGAATCAGGTTGCGGAAGTAGGAAGGCGCATCGGACAAGCTTGGGCGGCATTCGGGGCAAACAGCCATGTTCTACGCTCCAAGAAAATTGCTCAACACCTAAAGACCAAGGTGTTCAACCAGTGTGTACTGCCGGTCTTCGTGTATGGGATGGAGACCACAACGCTGACAGAAAAGTCTGCTGAGAGTCTCCGAGTCGCACAACGAGCAATGGAAAGACAGATGCTTGGCGTCTCCCTACAAGATCACAAAACGAACGAGTGGATCAGAGAAAAGACGAGGATCAGCGACGTGGTGGAAGAGATTGAGAGCCGTAAATGGAGATGGGCAGGGCACATTGCACGGATGAACCAGGATCGCTGGGCCAGAAAGACCCTGGAGTGGAGACCCCGCAACAACACCCGCGGCAGGGGAAGACCGCCTAAACGATGGACAGACGATATCCGGCAGCAGGCTGGAGTGAACTGGATGCGTGTGGCCAGGGACAGAAAACGTTGGAGGGTTGAAGAGGAGGCCTATGTTCGAAGGCGAACCCAAAGGCTGACATAGATAGATAGAATTATTACCTTGATGTTACCACTGAAGGTAGGCAGTACATTGAGACCATATTCTTCATGTCTAGTGTAAAATAATATTCCCTACAAAATACAGGTTACCATATAGGAAACCTAAAAAGACCTTAAACCGTCAGCCCACCTTAAAAACATGAAAGAATACAACTGTTGGTCTATTTGTACCTATAATATTTAAAGAATTATCCTCCAACTCCTAAGCATTAAGGAGTTGTACCTACCATGACCAGTTCATCATGATGAGATGATGAATATCTGATGTAAACACTTGAATAACTTTAGAAACTATACTTATCTATAAAATTAAAAGAATTATCTTTCAACTCTTAAGCATTAAGGAGTTTTACCTTCTATCATCAGCTCATCAATATGAGATGATGATTTCCATGAGCAAATACTTGAATAACTTAAGAAAAAGTTTGAAAAACGATATACGTGCCTATAAAATTTGCGGGTTGCCCTCGATTTCCCTAGGATCCCATCATCAGATCCTGACTTGGTGACTATGGGACCACCTCAGAAGTGTACCCTATCGAACAAAAAAAGAATTTTGAAAATCGATCCACAATTGACGGAGTAATCGGTGAACATACATAGAAAAAAAAATACAGTCTATTTAATTTTATACATACAGTCGAACATATAACCTCCTCCTTTTTTGAAGTCGGTTAAAAAAATGCATCGCAATCTCATCCAGTTGCAATACATACACTGCGACAAACATGGCAGCATCTCAGCAGGATAATAGAACATCCTACTTCCTTCCTACTAATATTATAAATGCGAAAGTTTGGATGTCTGGATGTTTGTTACTCTTTCACACAAAAACTACTGAACGGATTTTGATGAAACTCTACAGTATTATTGTTTATAACCCAGAATAACATATAGGCTATAATTTATGACGATCTGTGACAAACGAAATTTCACGCGGGTGAAGCCGCGGGCAAAAGCTATAATTAATAAAACCGTGACATTGTCTTCGGAGTCAAACAGATTCGCCCCGCTCAGACGTGAAATTGGATACCCATCTACTATTTATTAACTTGGTCTTGATTTCCAATTATCAACTCAATCTATTTAATACGTCAGGATTTTAGTAGGTAGGGCCTACCCACTACCTTTGCCATACCCATTACCTTCTGGTAAGGAGAGCCCCACATAACCCACTAGCTACTTCCGCGGCTGGTGGGTATGACCAGACGATAAAAAAAAATGAGTTTCAGGAGTTTATAAAATGTTTTATAATTATCACAAAAGATTATTCTGTTACACTTAAAACCTACACTTGTGTATTCAAAACTAGCAGTGAGTAAGTATAGTGGCCGATAACATAAGTACTATTTATCCTATTTATCTATGTTGGTACACGCGAGACCTTGAGCCTATTTTATCGCACAGGCAATATTATTATGACGGCGCCAGTTGACTACTGTTATTTTCAAAAAAACTAAATCAAAAAGCATTTAACATTAAATTGACAATTACTTTAGGTTGGTAATCTGTAGGTATGTACGAGTATAAACAAATAATTAAAGTCTTCATAATTGTATTTATGAAGTTGTAAACTTGATATTCATTTTACGCGATAAAAATACTTTTTCGCATTTAATTTACATTAATCGACGCATTGGTATACTGACAAAGTAGTGAAAACAACAATGAACGAATACGATATTGACCTATAATGTTAGGAAATCATAATTACAAAGCAGGAAATTCCACAATTATCAACTAAGTTCAGTGGTAACTGTTTGTGTTTTTCAACATCCCAATCGCCATGTTTAGTTTTATTTTAGCTTAAGTCAAATTGTGGACTGATTTTAAAACCTTTTTTTCTACTTTTCTTTCAGGCACCTGCACCGGCGCCCACCTGGGATGGAGTGGTAGACGCCATAAACGAGCACATCCGATGCACGCAGTCAGGAGGATTCTCGGGCGGCATAGTGGGCCAAGACGACTGCCTAACACTCAACATCTACACACCCTTACACAACTCCCAATCTAGCCCACTCCCAGTCATGGTCTTCATTCACGGTGGAGGTTTTATCGAAGGATCATCCACCAAGAGCATATACGGCCCTGACTACTTAATGAGTAAAGGAGTAGTGCTGGTTACGATCAACTACCGACTTAACGTTGAAGGTTTCCTCAACTTGGGAATCAAAGAAGCGCCTGGAAATGCTGGCATGAAAGACCAGGTGGCAGCTTTGAGATGGGTACAAAAAAATATAAGAGCGTTCGGTGGCGATCCCGACAACGTCACCATTTTTGGGGAGAGCGCAGGAAGCGCATCAGTCTCCTACCATGTCCTATCTCCTATGTCCAAAGGCTTGTTCCACAAGGCTATATTACAAAGTGGCTCGTCACTTTCCAGTTGGTCATTCCAGCACGATCCATTTGACGCAGCTATTAGTAAAGCAAAGAATGTGGGGTATACTGACTTATCTGAAAATGCTCTAGATTTATACAAGTTTTTCATGAGCAAAACATCCAGGGAACTTTTAGAAACAAGAGTTCCAAAAACAGAGGGAGATCTTGTGATATCGCGACTACTATTTACGCCGAGTGTAGAGCAAAAAATTGAAGGTGTTGAGCCATTTTTGACTGAAACTCCATATAAAATTCTGTCCGAAGGCAGATACAATAAAGTCCCTTTGATAATCGGGTCTAATTCTGACGAAGGGTTGTTATTCATGAATATGGAAACAGACGATGATATAAAGAATTTAAAATTTGAAGTAGCTTTGCCAAAAAATTTGATCTTCCCGTCTGTTGATGAACGGAAAAAATTGGCTGATGAAGTCCATAAACTTTATTTGGGAGATGATGAGATTACCGTAGATAACAGGGCTAAGCTGTCCAAGTTTGCTGGTGAGCCGTTTTTCAACTATTTCGCGGCAGAAGAGACGAGTTTGATCATGAAGACGACCGACAAGCCCGTCTATCATTACCTCTTCGACTATGACGGATGGAAGAACGTTATCAAACTGTCTGCGAGTAGCTCGTTGAAGAAGCTGAAGGGCGCATCGCACGCCGACGAACTCTTCTATCTGTTCAGCCAACTACCCTCGATGTTTGAGAACAAAATGATCGAGGTGATGACGACGTTGTGGACAAATTTCGCTAAATACGGGTAAGTTTTAGTTACTATTCCATTAGCTATATCAGAATTTAAAGACGATTTTATAAGTTTACATTCATATTTGCAAATGTGCATTAGCAGACTTTCATATTTTTATTAATATTTAGATACTATTTCAATGTTTTACTTCTCTGGTTTTTTACAAAAAGAATACCGTGGATTCCAGTTGCTTTAAAAGAAACCGACTTTTTCATCACAATATAAATGCCCACCTACTGCCATGTTATGAAAACATAATATAAACATGTTTTAATCCCAACCCAACGTTGTCATTTCCAGGGACCCTACGCCAGCTGTGACAGACCTCCTCCCCGTAAAGTGGCCAGCAGTGAGGACGGAGGACCAGCGGGCCCTGGTCATAGACAAGGAGCTCAGCATCAGCCCCATATGGCAAGACCGGCTGCTGTTCTGGAGGGATGCTTATGCCAAATACCGAAGAAAATGATCTAAACGTCATAGCTTAAGGACTTAACTTGTGTGCTTAGTTGTGGTGTTCAGCATTTAAAGGCAGTGGAAATACAGTTCCCACCATATTTTGAAACTTATTGGCTTGTCGTATCGTATGGACCAAAATGAAAAATGTGTTTTTGTCATGACTGTTAAAAGGTTAACTCGTGTTTAGGAACTCGATTTTGGTTCTACCTCACCTGTATCATGGTTACGAAATGTGCAAGGAAGATAGTAAGATCCAATACAGCTAAATTGACATAGCTAAAGCTACTGAAGAATCCCGTGAATTCCAGGGATTAATTTGTTTTCCCGAATTTTCATCGGGCAAAGAAAATTATTTTTCAACCGTCATCTCTATTCTAAAGAGACAATCGTGTAATCAGTGCCGTAACTAGGGCGGTGCCAGCGGTGCCCAGGCACAGGGCGCAGACCCTGGAGGGGCGCAGAAATGACCAGACCAAGCATTTTTCAAGGGCGCAGTTTTGAAAGCTCGCACCGGACGCATAAAAGGCTAGTTACGGCACTGCGTGTAATATTTTAAAATATACATATAATGTTTCGATTATGAAGATTTAGGATTTTAACTAGATATTTAATAAATTACATTAGGTACCTTCCAACTTCAGTGTGTGATATTATTGTTATAATGTATTGCATTTAATTTATCCGAATTAATTACGAGTGATATGAATTTTAATGTACGAGTAGAGACGAGTACATAATAATATTTATTTACATTAGACTAAGTACCTATACTACAATATTTTATTGCACCTTCTCGTATAGGTATGTAAGTATTTACTTTTGTACATAATATTGTTTACTTTTCAGTACATATTGTTAATATAATTTTTATAACATTTACACCAATAAACGACTGATTACATCGTAATAGTTGTTTTGTTCGTATTTGCTTATGTTTATTTCCAAAAAGTATATTTTCTATTGTTATGAAAACTTCCATACTTAGCTAGATTTCATAGTTTATGTTGATGTGCTGCGATTCATACAAGACAAAATAAGTTTTTGCTATGTTTTTTCATAATACCTCAGTAAGTATAATAATAAATACGCATATTTCAAGATTCTATTTCCATGTAATGACATTAGACATGTATTCTGAAAAGGCGTTCAAAACTCTATTCAATTAAACTCAGGTAATTTTTATTTATAAAGCTTGTACATATATTTAAATTTTTACCCTTTTTTTATTTAGTAATAGTTTATTAAACTCAGGTATAGATTCAAAATTGGTTTAATTTTATTCAAGGCTTTCCTGAAGTCATTTATTTACACTCAAACTTTTTCCTGAATACATACAACTGCTCTACACTAAACAACTGTCCTCTAGTTTCCTTGAAAAGATCGCTTAAGACGCCTAAATAGCCGACTCTTATGTGTATTCCTTTCTTTTCTTGTCTTGTGTGGTGGACAATAAAATGTGCTCTATCTATCTACCAGTGTTGACGCCTTATGACGCAGTGGGCGCCAGTGAGTGACACCCAGCATCTGGCCAAACAGCCTGCTTAAGCCCCTATTCAGTTTGGCAGCTAAATTTCCGTTGGCAAAAGTAAGCCGCTTACATCGCTCGCTTATTAAAGCGGGGCACACGGCGAAGCCTGGGCCAGAACAGTAAACAATTGTTTAAAGTTACATATTTTACCTAAGTACGAAAGAGAAGACAAAAATAAACAAAATTTAGAAAAATCTAATGACGCAGCTTTATTTTTGACCAAAATGTGCCCAGACCCAGAGATTTCAATTCAAATTCAACCTGTATCTCTACACACATGCACGTTTTTTTTCATTTTCCATCTAGTAAACAATTGAAGAGCGTGGCGAAGGGATCAAAGCTTTATTTTACACTATAAAAAAACCTTCAACAAAAATCGAATGGCGAAGACAGTTAAGAAGAAGAGAACAGAAGAAAGTAGTAGTAAGTAGGTATCTTACTACAGACAGACGACCTAGTGAAGGTTGCGGAAAGCGCCTGGATACTGGCAGAGCAGGATGTGGGAGGCCTTTTATTAAAAAAAAAATATTACTAGCAATTTGTATGGCCCAAATTACTAATATTCCCGTTAGCCCCTCGTGTTAAGCTAAATGAGCTTGTGTTACGAGTAGGCTCACCACAACAGTCGAGCGGCGCGGTGGGATTCGAACCCGCGTTCCTCGGATCTCGAGTCGGCCACTCCGACCCCTTCACCGTTCGGCTATCGTGGCTATTTAAGCAGCTTTGTCCAGTAGTGGACGTCTTTAGCTCCAAAGGGAAAGAACAACATAACTGAACGTGTTGCTCACTCTAAACAGGCTGTGGCGTGGCGACCGAACGAATGAATGAGTGAAACTATCCGCTTTAATCTTCGGCCCTCGAGGTAAGCCGCGGTAAATAGGGAATCGGCGTGCGTTCGACTGCCAGATATGCCGGATTACGGAATGCGTTATTTTGAATGAATTGGAGGCAATGTGCGAATTATGTACACTCGGAAACGTCAAACGGAAATCAGGGGATTATTTTAGGGGGGAATGTAGAGCGTATTGATTGAGGTTTACGTTTCAATATTTTGATCGTATGGGTGCTGCAATGACACGCATGCCAATAGTAACTATTTGGTAAGTAGCCGTTTCTGAACATAAATAAATGTGTTCTTAAAAAATATTTTGATACAGTTCTAACTGAAATGGAAGAGAACTGAGCAGAATTAATTTGCCAACTATGAAATCCATATAAAACATCGTATGGTAGAGCACAAGCACTTCAGAGGAAAGCACGAAAAACCAGTACAAATGGATAAAAAAGGAACACAGTGAAGAGCTGAAAACAAAAGCACATCTCGCAAATGGAAGACATAAGAACCGGTCGCGCGGAGGCCGGCGATTCATTTATAAAGGCGCAATTACACCGGCGGCGCTAGGGACGGGATAAAAACCTCCCTTAGTTCCTAGTCCACCGATTTTCTAGTAATGTAGGTGTAGATAGAGTTTATTTTACACCACTCAAGATAAGAAAGAAAGAAATATACAAAAGATTCGGCACAATTTAGGCGGTCTTATCGCGATCTCTTCCATTTAAAATTTGAAAACGAAGAAGGTACAAGTAGAGAGAGAAATTATAAATAGCAGTTACCTGAGAAAAGATTTTTGCGCAAAGATAGAATTAATAAAGGTAACCTATACTCATTTCCTCTTAAAAATAACTTATTAAATAGCAAGAAGCTAATTTGACAATTTAACTAATAATTCGCCTGTTTATGTTATGTTGGTTATAGATAGTGCTGCCCTGAAGAAATAACTTTTCATCGAGCTATTTCTTCCAAAAGTCCGGTATTTTCCTCCGGCACTTAACAACACTACAGCCGCCCGAGCCGGGCTGTTAATCCGGGTAATAAAGAAATATACCCGGGAACCGGCTAATTGTTATTAACTGGGCAAACATGCAAATTGTGCCGGACTTCCTCCGCCTTCGCGGAGTTATCTCGGGCGCGAGCATCTACCTGCCCGGTATAAACTGGATAATTCCGGTTTAAACCGCTTCATCCGGATCAGATATCTTCATTTTTTCTGAAGAGCAAAACAACATTGAGGGGTTAAATCAATGATATTAAAGAACTATAGATATGTTACGTTCATAGAAATTACGATTTGAATCCGTGCCGAGNGTATTATTTGTGTCCACGCATTTGAAGTCGGTTTTTTTTTTTAAAGTTATTCCTTCTCAAGCTGCTGGGTGAAAAATATTTCTAACTAAAAACAGTAACTAAGTTAGGGAATATCAATGAGCAATGAGCTAATTTGTCAATTGAACTTAAAATTTTACCTGTGCATTATTTATAGGTAACTAGTGCTGCCCTGAAGAAATTACTTTTCATCGAGCTATTTCTTCAACAAGTCCGGTATTTTTCCTCCGGCACTAAACAACACTACAGCCGCCCGAGCCGGGCTGTTAATCCGGGTAATAAAGAAAAATACCCGGGAACCGGCTAATTGTTATTAACTGGGCAAACATGCAAATTGTGCCGGACTTCCTCCGCCTTCGCGGAGTTATCTCGGGCGCGAGCATCTACCTGCCCGGTATAAACTGGATAATTCCGGTTTAAACCGCTTCATCCGGATCAGATATCTTAATTTTTTCTGAAGAGCAAAACAACATTGAGGAGTTAAATAGAATCGTAAGTACCTACTTAATCTATTTCTATTGGTAAATGCATTTTTTTTATTCTGTAGATCTCAGAGGCGTACGATATTATTATGTTGGAGGGCAAACGATGTTTTATTGATAAAATTGGGTTGTTGGAAGTTCCTAGTTTCCTCGAATAAAAAGTGGCAGAATATAACTTTCAGTGCGGAAGTTTAGTGTAACTGATGGACATAGGATATTCTTGCAACAATAATGTAGAGTCACTATTAGAAATATCTTCCAGCTAGACATCGCATGATGGGATGAGCACATCTGCTACGTAGTAAGTAGCTACTTACGTTCGCAGACGCATCCTTGCTATCTTGCATAAACTTTTGACATCTTTCAGTGTCATGTCAGGTGAAGCCCTTGTGGCTTGTGCCCACTACAGAGTGACGGACCGACAAAAAATCGTCTTGTTTTAGGCTTGTTCAATTCTTATCACGCTTATTATCTTAATAATATCTTAACAGTTTCATTAAAAGGTTTTTAAAAATAAAACATGCAACATAACAATAAGGGATGTTATGGATATCCGTAACCGTAACCGAAACTTTCGGATATCCGAAAGAAAAAATATCCGAAACTGTAACCGTAACCGATTCAAAAGTTTCGGATAGTTTCGGATGTAGGCAGTTTAAATTGTTTTTTGTATAGCATTATATGTAAAGGCATAACCCTTATTTACCTTTATAATGCAACCTAGTATCAATTTTATTTTTTTTATTACTTTTTTTTCGATGTAAAGTGTGCGGCCATGAATGAACCGTGTTGGACAACTATTGCAAACTGCATTCTAAAGCACAAATATCCGTAATCGTAACCGAAACTTTCGGATATCCGAAATAAAAAAATATCCGTAACCGTAGCCGAAACCGGTATAATATTATTCCTATATCCGTAACCGTATCCATAACCGATACTAATATCCATAACATCCCTAGATAGAGCAGCCAATCTTTTTCACATTAATCTTAATTCTGAAAAATCAGGATTATTTTATAATTAGGTACGTAAAGTTTATTTCAGGAGTAAGAAGCCCTCAAGTTATAGGTATGTTAGTTTATCTAATTTTGCCTAATCGTCGCTTTTATCTTCTTTAGATAATACATAGGACAAGTACCATCAAAAATACAGTTATTTTTTCGACACTGTCATCCTATTAAATGACTATAACGCAAGCAAGAAAACGTTTTACCCGTCTACATTGGAAACCAGCTTCAACAGCTTCCAACTTCACAAACGTAGCGAAAGTCGTGATAATTTGATTTGCTCACACGTCAGCAAACATCTAGAAGTTACAATAATCTTGAGCGCTTACACAATTATGTGGCAATCTTCATCGCGACATTATGTAATGTTATTAAAAGTTGTTATACGACTTAAAAGCTCAAAGCTACAAAAATATGTTAAAATTCAGCATTTTGTGCTTTTGGTTATACCTTGACCACTACTATGGTTCAATAGGGTGTGATCTCGGCGATTTTGTTATCTTTTTTTACTGTGTCGGTCGCTTTTGGATAAAATATGTATAGTATAGATGGAACCACGAAGCAAGACAGTAGATAGTAACTCTACGCAGACAAAGTCGCGGGCTCCGGCTTGTATTTCATATGGGCTCTGCCCAAGGTTATTCAAACAGCTCCCGCCAGAACAGCTGCCAATCGCGGGTGTAACAACGAGCAGATCTTGCACTTTCTATTTCATCACACACGCATGCAGCTGCAATGCAACACTGGGGCATGCGATCTACAGAGTGCAGTGTGTCGACACAGTGCGCGTGCGCTGCCCTCCGAAAGCCGCAAAGAATCTACATCGTTGTAGACACTAAGCGAAGAAAAAAAACAATTGAAGATCGCGAACAAAACTAGCGAAGAAGAGAAAACAATTGAAGATCGCGAAAAAAATAATTAAAAGCAAATAAATATTTTTTACCTATTTAAATCGAAATAGTACGATCTATCATTCAATGCAAATAATGGAGAAATATACATAGAGTCGTTTCAAATGAGAGAAATAATATTTCTANTAAATAGAATCGTAAGTATGTACTTAAATATTCTATTTCTATTGTTAAGGGTATTTTTTAAAATCTGTAGTTCTCAGAGGCGTTCGTAAACAGTGTGCTTACCATGAGTTTACGTTAGGTGTGCTCGCTAGCGACTCCGTAAAAAAATGACATTAAATGTATGACATATTGTGCAACGCCCCTAGCGGCTACTTTCAAGAAATAAAATCGTCATAGATTTTTTTGACGTATTCGCTAGCGAGCACACCTAACGTAAACCCATGGTAAGCACACTGGTGGGCAAACGATGTCTAATTAATGAAAATCAGTGTGTTACAACATGAAAGTTCCTAAACGAATAAAAAATAGCCGGATATTACTTTCAGTGTGGTAACTGATGGTGGACATAGGATGTAGTCACTATTAGAAATATCTTCTAACTAGACATAGCATGATGGGATGAGCACATCTGCTACGTAGTAAGTAGCTACTTACGTTCGCAGTCGCATTCTTGCATAATCAACTCTTGACATCTTTCAGTGTCAGGTGAAGCCCTTGTGGCTTGTGCCCACTACAGAGTGACGGACCGACAAAAAAATCGTCTCGTTTCAGGAATTTTCCCGTGAAATGTTTATATGTTTTAAATAAAATATGCATATTGCATTTATTGATAACTCTGATTGTGAAAAAATCTAGAGACTGTTACTGTGACACATTATTTCAGGATTATTTTATAGTTAAATAAGTATATTATTATATTTCAGGAGTAAGAGCATATCTCTAGAACTATTCAAATTATCTTCCAGTTATACATGTTATAATTTTTACAAGTTCTTTGTAAAACCTTCACTTTTATCCTCTAGCTCAACAGATAGGACAAGTGGTACAAAAACACGGTTTTTTTTTTGCGATGCTTTCGCCGTAGCTCATACTTAAGACAGACACATAAAATAACATATTGATTCGTTACAAGCCAAGCAAGAAAACGTTTTACCCGTCTACATTGGAAACCACCTTCAACAGCTTTCAACTTTACAAACGTAGCGAAAGTCGTGATAATTTGATTTGCTCACACGTCAGCAAACATCTAGAAGTTACAATAATCTTGAGCGCTTACACAATAATGTGGCAATCTTCATCGCGACAGCATTATGTAATGCTATTAAAAGTTGTTATACGACTTAAAAGCTCAAAGCTACAAAAATATGTTAAAATTCAGCATTTTGTGCTTTTGGTTATACCTTGACTACTACTATGATTCAATATGCGATTTTGTTATCTTTTTTTACTGTGTCGGTCGCTAAACAGATTTTTATTAACATTTGGATAAAATATGTATGTATAGATGGAACCACGAAGCAAGACAGTAGAAATAGTAACTCTACGCAGACAAAGTCGCGGGCTCCGGCTTGTATTTCATATGGGCTCTGCCCAAGGTTATTCAAACAGTTCCCGCCAGAACAGCTGCCAATCGCGGGTGTAACAACGAGCAGATCTTGCACTTTCTATTTCATCACGCGCGCATGCAGCTGCAATGCAACACTGGGGCATGCGATCTACAGAGTGCAGTGTGTCGACACCGTGCGCGTGCGCTGCCCTCCGAAAGCCGCGAAGGATCTACATCGTTGTAGACACTAGCGAAGAAAAGAAAACAATTGAAGATCGCGAACAAAACTAGCGAAGAAGAGAAAACAATTGAAGATCGCGAACAAAATAATTAAAAGCAAATAAATATTTTTTACCTATTTAAATCGAAATAGTACAATCTATCATTTAATGCAAATAATGGAGAAATATACATAAAGTCGTTTCAAATGAGAGAAATGATATTTCTAAAATGTGAAGAAATGTATTAATTTGTATGATGTAAATATTTAACAACAAAAGGCAAGATGGTTGGACAAAGGAGGATGTTTTCAAAAAGAAGTGGCTTTTAGTTCAAATTGTCAATGTTAATTACCTACTTGGGTAAGTTAACATCAACCTTATGTAAACTGATTTCTATTCAGCCTAAGTAAATTAATGGCGACAGTAGCCGAAGAGACCACAACAAACTAGAAGCCGGGGATAGTAAATGCCAAGGTGCGACCGTGAGCGACCCGCGATGTTGCAAATCCACCAGACAGACAGTGTTGTAGTAACCCGCCATACAGATAAGTGTCTTCAAGCCATGATTGTGGCTAAACATACATTTTGTTTTAAAAACATAGTTTTGTGAAGGGAAGACNGTGAAAATAGTGTAGTGAAAAGATGCGAAATGATTTAGCAATAGTGTGTTTTAGTGTGGTGTTAGGATGTGTGGACTGCACGCTCTTCACAACTCCGGTGGTGAAGACGAGCTATGGAAAGGTGAGAGGGCTCCGCAGTGTGTCCGGGCAAAACCGGTTCTACGGCATCCCCTATGCAGTGAGCGAAAGATTTCAAGTAAGTAAATACGAGTCATCACCATCATCATCATAGGGACATTTAGTTAGTGTTTACTTCAGGAGCACGACCCTATCCATATTTCCATTTGCCGCTGGTAAATAAGAGGAACGTCTAAAAAACTTGTTTTTTTTTTTTTTGTTTAGTTGAACTATGACTGTTTACGCAGTATATTTAAATAAGTTTTTGTCGATTTTTTTACAAAAACCTACAAAAAAAATCCTTTGCATGTATTAGTCGCCCGTGTTTTAAGCTATTTTAAATAACGCGACGGGTTCATCGGTAAAATCTTACGAAGATTTATCTGAGCCCTTATTTTATTAACCTTTACGACAGAGAAGAAAGATATCTAATAAATAAATTCACGGACTTATAGATTTTAGTCGAATAGATAAAGACGAATACGATTCATAAGATACGTACCTACTTATCGCAACAAAATAAACATTTCTGAAAAAACATAATAGAAGAAATGAAAACAGAGAAAATCAACAGCCAAAATTACTACGTAAAGAAAAATAATGATTTACCGATTCCATTTCAGGCACCACGAGAGCCACCAGCATGGAAGGGGGTACGCTCGGCCATGCGGTGGCTCCCCCCGTGCTCTCAGACCATCGACATCGTCCCCGTCGCGCCACTGCAGCTGGGATCGGAAGACTGCCTTCGCCTCGACGTGTACACGCCAGAGGCCGCTACTCCAGGGCAAAACCTACCCGTACTGGTCTTCCTCCACGGGGGCGCCTACTACTACGGCAACAAGAACGACTACGATCCAGAATTTCTAGTCACCAAAAACGTCATCACCGTCATCATCAACTACAGAGTCGGCGTGTTCGGCTTCCTCTGTCTAAACGGAGTCGCTAACTTAGGACTCAAAGACCAGGTCGCAGCTCTCAAATGGATCCAGAAAAACATCGCTGCGTTCGGAGGAGACCCCGACAACGTCACCCTGTCCGGCCAGAGTGCAGGAGCCAGCGCAGCTGCCATGCATCTCCTATCCAAATCCAGTAAAGGATTATTCCACAAATTAATACTCATGAGTGGCAATCCGTTTACCCCATGGTCTTTCAACCCTGAGCCTGAAACGCCGGCGTTCCAAGACGTGAGCAAACGCAAACGGATTAGCAACGTCGAAGACGTCTACAACTACTTCGCCACGGCTCCCGTGCGTGACATCATGTCCGTGTCCATGGACACGTCCATCAACCCGAGATACTTCAAATACAGCCCTTGTGTTGACAGCAATTTTTCAGACCCGTTCTTCCGCGACACTCCTTACAATATTATAAAATCGGGAAACTTCAATAAAGTGCCTATCCTCACTGGTATTACTAACGTTGAAGGGCTATTGTTCTACGGACTGCATAGTGCCGAAACAGTCAAAGATTTGGAAAGGAATTTTCTTGAAAAAATACCTTCGGTATTTTCTTGGTGTTCAAAGAAGGACAGAGAGCAAATAGCACAGAAACTTCGTGATAATTTTTTTGGGAAAGAGGGGATAAAGATGAGCGCTTACAGGAGTCTGATCGACTTCTACTCAGTTTGGATCGCGAATGCAACCGCTGCTGCGTTTGTGGACTTGATGGTGGAGCATTCCGAGCAGCCTGTGTACCGCTACGTGTTCTCATACGAGGGGGACCGCAACTTCGCGAAGGCCATATTCGGCAGTCGCGTGTCTGTGCCGGGCGCTTCCCACTCGGACGACTTGTTCTACGTGTTCAAGCCGGCGGGCATCAGCCTGCTGCTGACTAACAGGGACAAACGCTTCATCGACAGGATGACTACTATGTTCACCAACTTCATGAAGTTTGGGTAAGCTATGCCTTTCTTTCTATAAGTATGTGTGTAGGTAAATTAACTTTCAATCTTAATTAATAAACAGGCGTTTATTTGTATAAGTAGTCAAATATTTCTTTTCTTTTTACTAGCCCACTTCAAAAAAAGGAAGGGGTTCTCAATACGACTGTATTTTTTTTAATTACATCTGGCCAAAAGTTAGGGTAATAAACAACTTTACTCTAATGTCCTTCAAAAAATGTGTAACCTCCACTCATGTTTCAACTTTTGAATATTTCAACATCCAGTGATCAAGTCACCGTATGTTACGCGCTGGTTTGCAATCAGATTGCCAAAGCACGAATCATTATGATTTATCACAAAAAGCGTTGCGAAAGTATGCGGCTGCTGTAAACTACTCTCGTGGTGTTATTAGGCCGTAGGCCACGAGTGATTGGAAAAGACTGTGGTGTAGGTGATAGGTGCAAACCAAATCCATTATTAACTATAGAAAACACCAACATTACATGCATACCTACCTAATAGGTGTATGAAATATTCAGGAATTTTCTGAACCAAGAAAGATTTAGAAATCAATTGGCAAGAGAAAATAAAATTCTAATTATGATCATTAATAAATGAGCCTATTTATGTATTACATGTACAGTAGCATGGCTTAGTGGTTCACGTAACGGACTATTATGCCAGTGGTCGCGGGTTCGATCATCGCACAAACCGCACAATACAAACATATTGTGTGCTTTATTAACGCGATACTTTGATTAGGCAATAATTCACACCTGTTTCTACCCGCCTGTTTTTGACAATTAATTACATTATGCAATGCGATAGTATCTGTTTGTATTGGTCTGGCTCTAGGTGTTTTCAATGTAAAATATGTTTTTATTAACAAGAGAGTATAAAGTACATACAAACGTGGCTTAGTTCGGGACTAGGCGAAGCAGCGTACGAATGTCCAAGACTTTATGTAAAATAGTCATTATACTTAATTTAAATGTGAAATATCCCTGGCCAAGTGCACTGCTGTTACCAAGAAAAAGTTCCATACTCCGAGACTTAACTTCGAGATTGAACCCCTAATGGTGTGTTGTCCTCCACATTCGTTCGTTTCAACCAGATGACGTCCACTGCTGGACACAGGCCTGCCCCAAGGTTTTCCACAATGAACGGTCCTGCGCTGCCCGCATTCAGGCTATTCCCGCGACCTTTACCACCACATATTCATTTATAACTTTGATAATTCCAGAGACCCCACGCCCTGCAAGAGCAAGTTGCTGCCAAACAAATGGCCTCCAGTCACGGCCAGCGACCCGGTCGCCTTGCGCCTGGACCGGGAGCTGACCGTCATCAGGCCTTCCAGGACCAAGCACGAGGAGTTCTTCCTGAGCCTCCTCTGCACGTACGGCCATGATGGCTACGTGCCTTGTAAGAGCCAGAAGAGGTGTAATTTAGATTAATAAGTAAGTAGGCAATTTAATTAGAATCGTTGTCTACCAAACCTAGTTACTGGGATGGCGCCACTAACTTCGTAAAACCAATGAGAGCTAACGGTACAAATAGGGTACAATAAATATGTATATGTTACGGTCAAAGTGATAAATATGAAAATTGTGAATAATCGCCGGTTATTATGAATAATTACAGCATGATTTGGTAAATGTGTTTAATATGAGGTCTTTTATGTGTGTATAAAACTAAATAGGCGGCTTAGGGGTGGCCCAAGGGCGACCCCCGCCGCACCTTAACCTATTTTTCACTTTAAATCAAAACATTATGTCATAGGCATCATGGAAAAGTAATATTATGCCAAATTATATTAATATATGATATCAATCAATCAATGTGGAAAACCTTGGGGGAGGCCTTTGTCCAGCAGTGGACGTCATTTGGCTGAAACGAACGAACGATGATATCAAAACGTTCAAAAGTTTGGCTGTACACGAACACGTACACAAGATGTTGTTCTCTTTTATGAAATTTGTTAGTACTAAGGTTGAATTATTAAATAATCACTGTTAAATGCGATTAATTTATCACTTTTACCGCGTCTGTCGGTAATTATTCATAATAACCGGTTATTATTAATAATTTTCAATTTATCACATTAACCGTAACATATATAAAGGAAGATCAAGCCTAGGCGCAGACCACCGATTTTTAGTCGGCCGATAGTTGGGCCCGATTCTAATTTGTATGAAGAAACAATCGATGTAGTGTGCGCACTATAATACATGCCCATACTGATTAACTGCCCGACTAAACTATCGGCCGATAAAAAATCGGTGGTCTGCGCCTAGGCTAAAGCAACCATAAACTATTAAGACTGAACTGACATCCCGTAACATAAATAAATATTGTGTCATAGAATGATATTATGTAATAAAATATTTTTGTTAAAAATGCAGACTCGTTTCTGTTTCGTACTAACTCATTTAAAACAATCATCATCATTTCAGCCACAGGACGTCCACTGCTGAACATAGGCCTCCCCCAATTAATTATTATTTCCAGCGTCGGTCCACCTTGTGGGTGTCCACCCACCTATACGCTTTCTGTACGTGACTTCCACTCCAGAACCTTGCTGCCCCATCGGCCGTCAGTTCTGCGTAATATGTGTCCTGCCCATTGCCACTTCAAGATAATCCGTCCGTTAAAATAATAGTAGAGTAGATAGTAAAGTATATCAAACTTAAAGTATTTCAAATAACACACAGAAAGGCCACTTTCTTTTTTTATATCATTCCGTAGTAAATATGAAACTAATAAAAATTGGAAATAGCAAAGGCATATGCCATATCGGCTACTGAGAGTAGGTACTTCACAGACAATAGAAGGCTTCAGTCGGGAAGAAACGAAATACACTATAAATCTGCAAACACGCGGACTCCCCGATTTATAAATATGCAGATCAAATATTAAAAGGACAGCCCCAAGATCATCCGGCCGCGGCAAAGAATAATTCGCAGAAGGGAAAGCCAAACCAAAATATTAAATAATTTGTTGAAAATGTTTAGGATGGTATAACTAATAACTCCAGCAAACGCGTACAAAGTAGGTAGGTACAAAGTTAAGTTTATAGAATAAGTTCATTTTTTTAAATCCTCTCTACCAAATTATGAAGAATGGACGTTGTTTCATGACGCATGATGAATAAGCATTCCAAGACGGGCCGCAGACCGCAAACTGGAATTGAACCTTTTACACTATTAAAAGTAGGAAATTTTAATAATTATGGTGGTCATATTAGATAATGCTAGCCGTGTGGTGACGGCAGAGATGTGTAGGAATAAGGGTCTCTTCAATGACTAATTATTATTGAAATTACGGTTTTAACGTTTATTTAAAGTGACAGGTTTACAGACTGTATGCAACGAGATCAAATTGTCGAGTGTTATAAACGTTCGATTTTAAGTTGACAGGAGGGCGGCGCGGCGCGAAGTTAGCTGCGATCTTCACTCTGGTTCCGCGCCTTTGACGTCATGAGTTGTTTTCTTGCGCCCATAGATGGCGCTAACAATTATTATAAGTAAAGTAACCTGGTTTAAAAAAATTAAATGAAACCATCAATCGAGCTAGTAGGATTTATTTTATTATTCATCAATAATCAAATTCAGAACTTGAATATTCAACTGCAATGTCTGCTCATGAACGCTTCAAACTCGGTACTTCTTTCCCAATTCCATAAAATTCAACCCTTAGAAAGTGACAAAAAACTTTAAAACAGGTAGTTGAAACAAACCACAGCAAATTTTCATAGTGGACTGTAGGTACTATACGATAAACATGTCAGTCAATTTGACAACCTTTGTCGGAAACATTATTCAATGAAAATATTGTCCGAACCCTTAGTATTTCTCATCGACAAATACTTTAACACATTGTGAACCACTTTTCTTTCACGATTATAAAACGATTTTAGCAATTTAATTCACAAAATCAATTGCGCACATTTAAAATAAAGTTTGTTTACACTTTGACAGCAATAGACTGACATGCAAGGTGACATGTCAATGAAGTTTTCAGTTACTGTTGCCATTAAAATAAATTAGTACCATTAGTTTTCCGCAACATGGCGAGGGTTTTTATGTTCCTGGTCGGGCTATATAAAGGAAGATTAAGTCTAGGCGCAGACCGCCGATTTTTAGACGGCCGATAGTTGGGCCCGATTCTAATTTGTATGAAGAATCAATCGGTGTAATGTGCGCACTTCCATACATGCCCAAGCCCATACTGATTAACTGCCCGACTAAACTATCGGCCGATAAAAAATCGGTGGTCTGCGCCTAGGCTAAAGCAACCATAAACTATTAAGACTGAACCTGTCATAGAATGATATTATGTAAATTTATGTAATAAAATATTTTTGTTAAAAATGCAGACTCGTTTCTGTTTCGTAGTAACTCATTTAAAACAATCATCATCATTTCAGCCACAGGACGTCCACTGGTGAACATAGGCCTCCCCCAATTATTATTTCCAGCGTCGGTCCACCTTGTGGGTGTCCAGTCCACCCACCTATACGCTTTCTGTACGTGACTTCCACTCCAGAACCTTGCTACCCCATCGGCCGTCAGTTCTGCGTAATATTGTGTCCTGCCCATTGCCACTTCAAGATAATCCGTCCGTTAAAACAATAGTAGAGTAGTTACGTAAAATATGTTAAAGTATTTCAAATAACACACAGAAAGGCCACATTCTCCTTTTATACCATTCCGTAGTAAATATGAAAACTAATAAAAATTGGAAATAGCAAAGGCATATCGGCTACTGAGAGTAGGTAGGTACTTCACAGACAATAGAAGGCTTCAGTCGGGAAGAAACGAAATACACTATAAATCTGCAAACACGCGGACTCCCCGATTTATAAATATGCAGATCAAATATTAAAAGGACAGCCCCAAGATCATCCGGCCGCGGCAAAGAATAAATCGCAGAAGGGAAAGGGTGAGGCACCAAACCAAAATATTAAATAATTTGTTGAAAATGTTTAGGGTGGTTTAACTAATAACTCCAGCACGCGCGTACAGTTAAGTTTGTTGAATACTTTTTTTTAAATCCGTAAGCTTTACACTACCTATTAAGTAAAAGTAGGAAAGTATAATATGGTAGTCGGTCATATTAGGTAATGTAATAAGTTACTAAAGAAATCGGGGGTGTCAGCTAGTTTACACTCGTAGCTTGTAAACGCCATTTACAAGCTACGAGTCATTTTCTTAAAATTAGGTAAAAACTCCCGTAAGTATTTTACTATTTTCAGATTCGAAATTCATTAGTTTCGTAGATTGATTTGCCTCTTAAGAGAGTTCAATGTAAATGGGTTACTTTACGTTTATTTATGTGTAGGTTCTATCAAGTTTACCTAGCTACCCGGATGCTTTCAAGCATTTCCCCAATACCGTGTAGCAGCTGTAAACCGCCTCTTGGGCTGGTACCTAATGTCTCACAGCGCAATAAATAATGCTCGTATCCACTTTTCTTCGTTAGGGCCGAGAGGTCGGCGACATAATCTATGGCCGCGGTGGCTGTAGCGGTATCGTCTCAGAATAAATATTCAATGTTTTCATTCAATTTCTCGCGGTCCGCGCGGCTGCTGTCGGGAGATACTGCAGTGGAAATATATACGAGTACTCCTAAACGAATCGCCTCAACTATGTATTGATAAACTCGGATATCGCAGGAAATGTGAATTGAAACGAATGCTATTCGATTTTCTTTGAGATTTTCGTTGCAACTAATGTTTTACCGAAATTATACCTACCTACCTACCGCACAAATAATATTTTAAGTGGGTAGGTACAAACATTATACTCGTACCCAGGTAATGATTTCGTAACGCAAAATTACGAAAAAGTTGATATTATTATATTTTAGTTACCTGCCTACCCTCCCTTCATAAATAAAAAGTTCCTATCTAAATAAACAAGAAATATGACTTCCAAATATGTAGGTAGGTACAAAGAATTTGAAATTATTGAAAACTGAAACTCACTAACCTGTTGAAACAGGATCGCCTTCAGCATGCTTCAGCTACTCAGCCAGGTGTTGTGGTCCAGGAGAACGCCAGGGTATCCAGAGTCGGTAGGAAGAGAAATGTTCTTTTTAAACATAGTCACTTCGTAAATGTTTTAGCACACTAAAATGTTACTTCACTCACGCACTTTTTGAAAATCATGACAGTTAATAAAATTACAGTTCCAATATGAATTTCACAACAACGATTCGTTGGTGCGTCTGTCGATGACTGATGGATGTTGTCATTCGCATCGCATCGCAAAGGACGAACGCAACTAGTCAATAAAACTACTTTTTATAAAGTAATTTCACTTTCCATACCTGGAAAATTCAATGGAAATACTTTTAAAAAATGAAATTGATATATTTTTTATCTTTAATTTTTAATAGGTTTAATAATAGCGGATTATTTTTAATAAATAAAGTTTTAAATAGTATGTATTTAAAGCTTTAATAAAATATAATCGGCGATTTTATAATTTTAAATAAAGAAAGTCGTTTTGAAAAGCACAATCAATTTCGATTTCAAAGGGTTACAACATTAACAGGTTTAATAATGGCG